AATTTTTATATATACTCTATGATAAAAATTAACCCATGATCGTGCTTGGGTTTGGTGCTTATTGGTAATTTCACTCCTTTGGTTCTCCGCTCATGATGTTTGTTTACTTGGTTCCTTATTGGCTAAGTGGGCATTTATTCTTGGGCTGTTATTTCCTTATTGGGTTTGGCCCATTTGTCTTGGATGTTTGGTGTTATATGCTTGATTTGGATTGCTTGGTGGTTGGTTGGATTTCCTGCTTAGTTTCTATGCATATTTCGGTTTTTTCCCTGCTTGGAAACTCTGTTTTGTTGGTTTCCTGTGCTAGCTGTTCTTTCCTCTATGTTATTTCCTAAGTTTGGTGTTGGCTCCTATTGGTTGCTTGGGGTTGCACCTTTATGTGGGCTATTGGGTTATTTTCTCCTGTAAATGGGGATGTTGGTTGCTGGAAAATGGGTGGTTTTTGGCTGAAATCTATTCTAAACCCTAGGGTTATCTTCCTAGCTTGAGAGTTATCTTCTGTCTACTCCTAATTCTTATTCTAGTCTTCTACCTATTTCATCTCTCCACAGTTTTCCTTCCACTTGTATCATTCTTCTCCATAATAGAGAGTGTGGTGTGTTGTTGAGCCGGTTTGTTGGTATTGTCTGGAGGAGTGCCAACCGTGTTGGATCAAGATTGCTGTGGCGAACCTCTAGTTTGATTTTTCTTTTGAGCACCATTCTCTAATTTTCAGATTTGCATGTGAGGTGACCTTTCTAGGTTGTTTTGAGGGGAGTATGCTTTAGTTTGTTTCTTGCAAAGTTTCCTAGTAGTTTTCTTATAACTATTTTCTATTAAGTTTTGTTCAGTTGTTCTGGTTTATATTTTTATTAAAAGAAAGTGTCCAGATGTATTTCTAGTATTCTCCTACTTGACTTTTGAATTTAGGATACAACAATTTTGCATCTGTGGTCAAGATGAACGCCATTAGGATTCTGCTTTCTCTAGCAGCTAATTATAAATGGTATTTAGAACATCTGGATGTTAAAAATGCATTCATACACGGAGACTTGGATGAAGAAATATTTTTGGAGATTCTATTAGGATTCTAGGGGTGGCAGAGTGTGTAGGTTAAAGAAGGCTCTATATGGGATAAAACAATCACCTAGAGCTTATTTTGGAAGATTCTCAGAGGCCATGCTACTCAATAGATATTAGCAGAGCCAAGAGGATCATACACTATTCTTCAAGCCCTCTCACTCAAGGAGAGTCATAGTTTTGTTAGTTTATGTGGATGATATCATCTTGACTGGGAGTGATGAAGAATGAGAGTGATTCTAAGAAAATATTATTGCCATGGAATTTGATATCAAAGAACTTGGTAGATTTAAATATTTCCTAGAAATTGAAGCGACATAGTTCAGCAGAGGAATTTGATCTTTTTAAAGAAATAAATAAATTAGCTTGTAAACCCACACTAACACCAACAGAACCAAATCTTAAATTGGGAGAAGCTAAAGAGGATCCATACATAAATAATAAAGCTTACCAGAGTCTTGTGGGAAAATTGATCTATTTTCCCACACCAAATCAGATGTAGCTTTTGCTATAAGCATGGTCAGCCAGTCATGCAGAATTCAAAGGTGACTCACATGTAAGTAGTAGACAGAATACTGCACTACCTCAAATGGAATCCAGGAAAGGGGATTCTCTTGTGACGAAAATCTGGAATAACCCTAGAAGCTTATGCTGATGCAGATTATATACGATCACCAGTAGATAGATGATATACCTCAGATACTAGACACTCTTTGGAGGAAACCTAGTTACTTGGAGAAGCAAGAAACATATTGTGGTGACAAGGTCTAGTACAGAGGCAGAGTTTAGAGCTATGGCCTCAGGTTTATGTGAACTACTATGGATCAAGATGATTCTAGAAGGCCCAAGGATCAAGTGAGGACCCATGAAGCTACGTTGTGACAACAAATCAACAGTCATCATAGCTTACAATCTTGTTCAGCATGGCACAACCAAGAACATAGAAGTGGATAGGCATTTCATAAATGAGAAGTTGGATAATGGGCTTATTTGTATTTATCATGTCTCATCAATAGATTAGCTTTCAGACATTCTTATCAAGGGACTTTATAATTCTACCTTTCTTGGACTAGTTACCAAGATGGGAATGACGAATCTATATTCCCCAGCTTGAGGGAGAGTGTTAAATCCAAGCTATCCCTTGGCCCTTAATTCCATGGCCAGCTCGGGGATTCGTGGGAGGCTCACCTTGTTAAATCTCAGCCATCAATTGGGCTCTTGATCCCATGGTCAGCATGGGGATCCATGGGAGGCTCACCTGGATCATGCCAATCTTCTTCCAGATTTGGGTTGTTAATTTTAGAAGGATTATATTAGGAAAATTATGTATTATTTTGTAATTATTTTGTTTCCTTATTAAGATATCTTATATAGATAGTCTTCCCTCTCCAATTCTTTGAATTTAACAAAAACAATCAATTCAAACTTGAGCACCCATGAGCTTAATAGACTCCCAAATTAGAGTAGATAATTGGTAATGTTCTTGAGCTTCTTGGTGGTAGCTATATGATCACCACGCTTCACATTAAGGGCTCCTTAGGATCACACCAAGATAAGTACATATTATAGTGGCTATATGTTTAATGACCATGAAAGTAAGTTTTAAAATTATTTTTTAGGATGCATTGGTAATATAAAAGCTTTTGTAAGCATTTACATATGTCAACTTGCATCCACCATATTTCATCACTTGTATTATTCTATGGTTAATACCATATCAAATCTTGATGAGTTTTTGTTATTATACTGAAGGTTTAAAATTGCACAATTGGGTATTGAGGCGTTTTTGTTCGTGAGTCGAGGCATAAGCCTCAGGGCGTTTTGAGGCGTAAGCCTCAAAATAAAAAAAATTGTGTTTAAGTCAAAATAAATGTCAAAAGTGATTTTTATATATTACCAAAATAATATGTTAAGTGAGGACATGTAACAAATTGACATTCATATGAAATAAAAAAAATGCATAAGATGTATAGTGGCAAGTGATAAGTTGCGTGAAATAAAATTTAAATCCAGATATTACATGGGCAAAATAATATTAAAAATAGGAATGATATAAAAGTATCATATACTATCAATTTCAATTACAAATTCTTTCTTTCTTAGTTTCCTACTCATCCAAATTTAATTCCTAAAGAAAACTAAAATAGTTGGTTCTGCACTGTCATCACTGAGGGGGTTTTTATTTGAGTCGTCTTCATAACAAATTGGTATGACCCCTGTCTCATTCTTTGGAGTCCAATATCTCCCAATTTACTTCTTCATTTATTTCAGTCATCTTCGTCTTTCATAAATATTTTTCATTAACATAAGCATCAGATTAATACTCTTAAAATTTTAGAGGAGGTGGTGTGGGGTGCAAGTTTCAAGTGATCTCTGACGGCGGCTACAACAATGGTGACAATGGAGAAAACGGAGGGCTCGAGGTCAAGGCAGTCGTGAGGAAGTTGCTACAACTTAGGGGTGCATTAAAGCGTGATTTATTCGAGGCTTTAGTTTATGATTTAGGTATGTTTTAATAATAATAGATATAATAGGGTAAGGCAAGGCGTGCCTCTTAAAAAAGTTCGAGGTGTAAGTCTCATTGCATTTTTCACTGGAATTGCGCTGAGGGGGGCCTCAAGGCTTGTCTCATATTACTCAAGTTTAAACAATGATTATACTAATAATAATACGCTCATGTATATGCCACTTGTGTATTGTTTTGACTTGATATATTTAGTAGCTCCTTCAACTATTTTTGTCTCAAGATATTATGAGTTTTTTTTATTATTCTTTTAGCAAAAATTTGAAGGGCTTCTATGAAATATTCTTGCTAGGAGAACAATGTTGCGTGTATTGTTAGAAATTGTAGAAGAATTAAAAAACTCTTTAAGTAATTCAAGTGTTGATTTTTGTTCTAACGAAATATGAAAAGCATTTCTCTATTAGGAAATATTTGGTGATTTGCTTTACACAATGATTGATTATGGATAAAATTTGTTACAGGGTTTTTGGCAAAAGAAAGAGTTGTCTCTATGCACTCTAGTTTCCTTGGGTGGTGAGCAATCCATAGATTTGGTTACCATACAAAATGGTAATGCAATGCTGTTGTCTATGGTTGGGAATTATATTCTTCATGGAGCTGCCCCATCTTATAATCTCTCAAGTAGATAGTGAGATGTGACCTAGTAAGAAGTACATGGAATTAAACAAGTAGCTGAAGTCTCGTTTAAATATACATGCAGGCATATGCCGCTTTGGCAGCAAAAATAGGAACGAGTATTGATCATAAGTATTGTGTGTATTACATGATAGTTGTAGGGGTGAGAGAACAATTCGAATAGTTCTTGTACCCTCCTTTAGCTTTAGTTGCTAAAAGATTAGTTTGTGTGTATCTATGTGTCTATATAGATATATAACCTGGAACTCCCTGACGTGATTAAGGTGATATCAGGGGTAAATATTCATATATTTATTATGCTATCTGGCTACAAACGAGCCAAATTTTGTGGGAGGAACTAGTCAAGTCCACTTCTAAGCTACGACCTTTTTTAGATCCTTTGTTAAGTTTGACCCTGTTTGAAGTATGTCTTTAGGGGAATTTGGAAATATAAATAGAGATGATTCTAAAACAACATTTAGTACTTCCGTTCTTATCTTTAGTTTTTATTTGTTATTTTTGGCATTTGGATGTTTTTATTTTTCTGCAAATAAATTACCATGTTTCCTACAACAATCACATAGAGTGATACTTTTCTATACTTTAGAGTTTGTACATGCAAGTGTTTACTTTTTATCCATTAATAATTCTGATTTACAGGATTTCATGTTTCATTCTATAGTTGTATGGAAATTGGATCTTGATTTGAGCAGTGGATTGGTATCTTAAATATCATTTCTATGTTCAACGTCTCATATGCATGATATTCAGCCTTACTGATTAGATTTTATTTTTTTTCTAGTATATGACTGATGGAGTGCTTCTGCGAGAAACTTTGAAAGACTCCGATCTTGACAAATACCAGTATGCATTCTTCTCATTTTCTTCTTTCAGCAAAATATTAGCTGTTTTTTTTTCTCACATTTTTTTAATGATCTGTTTTTAATTTTTCATTCACCTATTTGTTTGCGTCTGTTTATTTGTCTATTTGTGCTGTTCTTTGATTCTTATTCTGCGGTTGTTATTTATAGGGTTGTAAACTATCCGAGATTTAGCGAGCTAACTATTTTTTTGGTGTTATTGTCGTTTGAATTTTTGTGTGTTTGAAATCGGCTATGTTAGAAATTATTTGTGAGAAATGTTCGTGTTCTATTCAATTTATTTGAAACAAGCTTGTGTTCGGCTCAATTTGGTTTAAATGCTAAAAATTTAAAGATTCATATATATATTCTTTAAACTGATATAGGCACATCGAAAAGAAATAAATATATAACAAATTACTACATTTTTATTAAACAAACTTTGTAAGTACATCATCAAATTTGAATGCAAATTTCATAAGTATTAAATTTCAGCGCAGATTTAACAACTAAAAAATAGCTTTATTACAATCAATTCAGTTAACTAATAAATAATAATTACAAAATTACTCTCTCCTTTGCACTATAAATTACTATCGACTTTATTCAAAATATATATAAAAAAAATAAATGGACATGCTCTGAATCTCTCATGCCCCCTCTCCCATTTATAACACTGATCGATAGCCAACTTGTTAAAACTTGTAATATTTATTTAAAATAAAAATATTACAAAATGTTAATGAAATTCTTTGAAATAATAAATGAATAAAATAAAAACTTATGCTTTGTTGTAAATGCTTTATCATGTGTATCGAAGTAATGAAACCCAATTACCAGTGTGACTTGACAGTGAGAGAGATTTACCTATTATTTTTTCTTTTCTTTTGTTGTTGATTGGCTGCTAATCAAATTTAGTTATCTTGAAAATCTACTGAAATATAATTATGAAGTTTTGTAGGTTTCGGACATTCTCAAGTTGTGTATTGAGAAAAATTGACATTCTCTTCATTGTCCATTTTTTATGTTCTAGATTTTGTACAACATCTAGCTTGCATATCTCGTACGTTGGAAAATAACTCCAAATTGATAGGATGAAGACTAGATAATGAGTGGAGATGATGGTGAATAGCTATGATGCATCGACACGGCACTTAGAGAGGGTATGCAGTGTCGGACACGGACACGCGTCGGACACGGCATGGACACGTGTCCGACACGACATTGGAGTGTCGCAATTAAAAAAATTAAAATTAAAATCGGACACGCGTGTCCGGTTATTAAATGAGGTATCGCTAGGTACATGCTCGGTATTGCTCAGTATATGCTCGGTACCGCTCAGTACATGCTCGGAATTGCTCAGTACATGCTCGAAATTGCTCAGTACATGCTCAGTATAGCTCAGTACATGCTCGGTATTGCTCAGTATATGCTCGGTACCGATCAGTACATGCTCGGTATTGCTCAGTACATGCTCGGTATTGCTCAGTATATGTTCGGTACCGCTCAGTACATGCTCGGTACCGCTCAGTACATGCTCGGTACCGCTCAGTACATGCTCAGTACCGCTTGGTACATGCTCAGTACATGCTCGGTACCGCTCAGTACTACTAGGTACATGCTCGGTATTGCTAGGTATATGCTCGGTACCACTCGGTATCTTCCCATACAAACAACTTACGAACTTTAAAAATAAGCAGAACTTCAAAATTACTTAAGTCGAACCCCGCCAGGGGGCAGCGCCCCCTTGGACCCCCGGCAGACTGGTATATTGTTGTATTCATGTTGTCTTATTATTGGGATATTTTGATTTCACTTCATATCAATTTAATTTGGTGTATTCATATGTATGATTGGTTTGTTAGGCTTTGGACAAGTTAGTTTAGGCATTGCTAGTTATTTTAAATTGAAATCAAAATTTCAGAATCACTTCAATTTTAGTATCTTTTCTCAAAGATAATAAAATGCCTAATGCAATGTTTATGTTTTTTTTTTTTCTCAGTATTTTTTTTTTAATGATTTTCTGTCTTGGTTTGCATCATTATTGTTTGATATTTTTATGAATTTGCTTCTGCTAAATTGATATTAACCATTGTATTTCATAAAAGCTCATCTATCAAAGAACATTTGATTGTTTTGTTAAAAAAAAAATTCCGTTTTGGCTAGCATAGACTCTGACTGGTTTGGCACTTAATCTTCTCAAACGCTTCATTTTTTGATATATTTATTTCCTGTTCAATATGATCACATATCTATATCTATATCTATATATATATATATATATATATATATATGGTGATGCATGTTTACTTCACTTTGGTAGTCCCTCATCTCTTGCATTCATTTTCCTCTGCGTGCAGCAAACTATTTAGCTAGCATTTTTTTTTTTTTTGCAGTGTTATAGTAATGGATGAAGCACATGAGAGGTCACTTAGCACAGATGTGTTGTTTGGCATACTGAAAAAGGTAGTTGCTCAGCGACGGGACTTAAAGCTCATCGTGACATCTGCGACGTTGAATGCGCAAAAGTTTTCCAACTTCTTTGGAAGTGTTCCTATATTCCACATTCCCGGGAGGACATTCCCTGTGAACATTTTGTATAGTAAAACTCCTAGTGAAGATTATGTTGAGGCTGCTGTGAAGCAGGCCATGACTATCCACATAGCCAGCCCTCCAGGCGACATCCTCATCTTCATGACTGGGCAAGATGAAATAGAAGCAACCTGTTATGCTCTTGCTGAACGAATGGAGCAACTAACCACATCCACCACGAAGGCAGTTCCCAAGCTATCCATTCTTCCTATCTACTCTCAGCTCCCTGCCGATCTGCAAGCCAAGATCTTCCAGAAGGCTGAAGATGGTGCAAGGAAATGCATTGTTGCCACCAACATTGCAGAGACCTCACTAACAGTGGACGGGATCTTTTATGTCATAGACACAGGCTACGGGAAGATGAAAGTGTACAACCCTAGGATGGGCATGGACGCTCTCCAAGTTTTTCCGGTGAGTCGAGCAGCTGCAGACCAACGAGCAGGGAGAGCCGGCAGGACAGGCCCTGGAACATGCTATCGCTTATATACAGAGTCTGCATACCAAAATGAGATGTTGGCCACCCCTGTGCCTGAAATTCAGAGAACCAATCTTGGTAATGTGGTGTTGCTGCTCAAGTCCCTGAAGGTTGAGAACCTTTTGGATTTTGACTTCATGGATCCGCCTCCACAGGAGAACATCCTCAATTCCATGTACCAGCTTTGGGTGCTGGGTGCTTTGAACAATGTTGGAAGCCTCACTGAAATAGGTTGGAAAATGGTGGAGTTCCCTCTGGATCCACCACTTGCAAAGATGCTGTTGATGGGCGAGGAATTAGAATGCCTCAATGAAGTCCTGACCATTGTTTCCATGCTTTCAGTGCCGTCGGTTTTCTTCCGGCCCAAGGATCGAGCCGAGGAAAGCGACGCGGCAAGAGAAAAGTTTTTCGTTCCTGAATCGGATCACCTAACACTTCTCAATGTATATCAGCAATGGAAAGCAAACCAGTATCGAGGAGACTGGTGCAACGACCACTTCTTGCAGGTGAAGGGGCTTCGGAAAGCTAGGGAAGTGAGGTCCCAACTATTAGACATACTGAAAACACTGAAGATTCCTCTTACTTCTTGTGGAATGGATTGGGACGTAGTGAGAAAGGCAATCTGTTCTGCATATTTCCATAATTCTGCAAGGTTGAAGGGTGTTGGGGAGTATGTTAATTGCAGAAATGGCATGCCTTGCCATCTGCATCCAAGTAGCGCTCTATATGGCCTTGGATACACTCCTGACTACGTAGTTTATCATGAACTGGTCCTGACTACTAAAGAATACATGCAATGTGCTACTGCAGTGGAGCCACAGTGGCTTGCAGAATTGGGACCAATGTTCTTCTCTATCAAAGAGTCCGATACTTCAATGCTTGAGCATAAGAAGAGGCAGAAGGAAGAAAAGACTGCAATGGAGGCAGAGATGGAGAATCTACGAAAAGAGCAAGCTGAGTTTCAGAAAACAAGCAAGGAGAAAGAGCGAGAGAAGAGGGCTAAGCACCAGCAGCAGGTGATAATGCCTGGCCTTAGAAAGGGTTCGTCAACATATCTCAGACCCAAAAAGTTGGGATTGTAAGTTCAGATTTTGGCCTGTTGTATGCTAACATTCATGTACAGATTCATATTTAGTTTATGTTTAATCAGAGATGAATTATCAAAGAATTAGATATAACAGTTATGCGATGGATGTAAAGCTTGTTAATAAACTCGTAGGCTTCTTTTGGAGCGGTTTTTTTACCGCTTCTTAAAACAGCTTTTGTACTAAAAAGTTGATTTAAAAAGCATTAAGAAAGCCACACCAAACAAAGTCTTAGACCTGCTCAATTGTCATTCTTAACCTGGACAGTTCTGTTACATTCTTAACTGAGCCAAGCTGATCATTTTTATATAAGAAATATTTTTTTTTTCATCCGCTCCTACCAAATTTATATAAGGAGGAGAAAAATTGTTGGCAGGATGTTTTATGAAAAGATTTTAATTATGAGAATAGTTTTTTTTTTTTTTAATTATGAGCATAGTAGTGTAATTGAATGTCACTGAGTTTATTTGGGTTTGATTCAAATCCAATTTGAGTTTGATATGTTTGGTAGACATTACATAATTTGTCTCGAGTTAATTAGAATTAATTAGATGTCGGATCAAGTAATTCAAAGTTAATCCAAAAATTAAATTCATTAAATTTGACACTAATTGAAACAAATTTAATTAAATCAACATCAACCCAATCAAAATTACTCAACTTTGATGCAGTCCAAGCCAAATTGACTTGCCTTGAAGTAATTGATATTAAATTGACATTGATCGAAGCACGTCGATGTAAATCTATGCAATACAAAGTTCAATCGACTCGGTTTGAGTTTGATTTAATGCTGGTACCTTTAATTAGCGCAAATCAACATGTCTCGAAATGATCAAAGTCAAATTAGCAGTGATTGAAGCACGTCAACTCAATCGAAGCAATTTGCGAGTCATCGAGTTTGATTTAAGTTAGGGGTGTCAATATTTGACACGACATGAAAATCCGACCCGAACCCTTCTCAGAAAATCCGGGTTGGACCTGACCCGATTTCAAAATGGGTTGGGTTCGGGTTCCAGAAATTGACCCGTTTGAAAAATGGGTCGGGTTTGCAATCGAAGCAATTTGCGAGTCATCGAGTTTGATTTAAGTTAGGGGTGTCAATATTTGACACGACATGAAAATCCGACCCGAACCCTTCTCAGAAAATCCGGGTTGGACCTGACCCGATTTCAAAACGGGTTGGGTTCGGATTCCAAAAATTGACCTGTTTGAAAAATGGGTCAGGTTTGGGTTGACCCGACGGTTTGCCGTGTCAACCCGCGAACCCGTTTAATTTAAAAAATTTCGAATCCCGCCCGCTGCCCACGCCCGTGCGTCTGCTGCCCGGCGCTGCTGGGGCTCTCGTCCGCCCCCTTGCCCGCCGTCGTTCTGGTGCCGGCAGAACCCAAAATCGGGTCGGGTCAACCCGGCAACCCGCCGGGTCGGGTTCAGATTTTCGACCCGTTTGTCTACCCGGGTCGGGTTAGGGTCGACCCGTTTAAACCCGAGTCAGTTTCGGGTTCGACCCGAACCCGACCCGTGACCCAAAATTGACACCCCTAATTTAAGTGATCCTAACTTTGATTGACTCAATGCAAGTCAATTGAAATTGAATTCACATTAATCTCATTAAATAAATAGATTCAAATCAATCTATATTAAAATTTTAACTAATTTTGATAATTAATTTACCAGTTTCATTGAATCAGTTCTATTTACCTATTTGTTAATTAATCAAGTTCGGGCGTTTAAATCTGTTAATTAGGAATAAAATGATCCATTTTCCCCACGATTTTAAGAAATTTCAAACAGAGTAGGCAGTTCGTCCCTCTCGTCCGATTCGAGCAATTCAACCATTTCTTTTTAAAGTCAAACAGGAATAGTCAGGTTTGTTTTTCTTAACAGAATTTTATTTTTTTTTGGTGACAGAACCGTCTGCAGATACGCCTGGCTTCGCCGAGCGCGCTTGGCAGCCAGTAAACCCTAGCAAATCTATCGCCACTGTACCCATAGCCGGAGCTTTGAGACCCCCACTTAAGGGATATCTTTCATAATATAACTATTTCTATTTATGGAAAGGAAATTCAAATTTAAATTGGCTCAAATGTTAATTTAATTGATTTTTCAAATTTACCATGAGATGAATTAGGAAAGTAGTGATTGTTAGGTTGAAACTTTGAAGACAAGGGGGGATGATGGGGCCGGCGGCTAGGAGGGGATATGACTGGCTTGCTGTTGGGTTGGGTTGTGGAATTCAGCTTAGGGTTTGGGGAAAAAGTCTAGGCTAGTAGTTTGGAGGGGAGGGGGGTGTTCGACAAAGAGAGAAGAAAGGGAGGGGAGAGGACGGCGGCTTGGGAGAAGAGAGAGGAGGAAGTTGGTAGAGGAAATATTTCCTGCAGCTGGTGGGTAGTACTTTACCCTCACCTAGAGACTTCAAACTCTTACAAGAGCTCTCACAAACATCCAAGAACACAAGTACTGAAAATTTTAATAATAGTATTCATTATGCCTCAAAAGAAGATGAGGGGGGCTATAAATAGCCAAAATACAAATCAAATGACAAAAGTGTCCCCTTGGGTCACATAAGCCTACTCCCTCAAGTGAGGGTAAAAAATAAAAAAGATGCATAAATAAATCAAATACAAATAACTCAAAAATAAAGTGTTCTAATCATGACCGTAGATCTTTGATTACTTTTTTGACTTTCCACGGTCGGATGTCCTCATCAGCCAAGATCCTCAATGATTCAAGTCCTTCAGTATATTTTATGATCAAATTAGTTCTGTTTGGATAAAATAAGAACATTAACCTGAATATTAGCAGAACATCCTTATCCCAAATGCTAAATAGTTAAATAAGCATTAGACATTAACCTGAAGCCTGCAGTGAACGAGAAGGATCAGAGTTGGAAGTGCCAGGCTAAGAATCATCAATCACTTCCCCATGGAAATGTAGAATCGGGCTTTCTGAAGCTGAACACTTACAGTCATGAGGATTATACATGATTTCCTGAGCTATATGTTCGCCCAATATGCCTGAATATGGAGCAAAATCTGGAACGCTGATATCGGATGTCAGCATGGACACCACCATCGACATTGGTGGCCTCCTAGCAGGTAATGAATTCGAACACAACAAAGATACCTTGATCATCCTTAGAGCTTCTTCCTTGTTGAAATCAAGCCCCAGATTCTTGTCAACAAGCATCAGTAACTCCCCTTTCTCTCTTAGCATGTGCGCCTGCCATACCATGCAAAATTGATTTAAATTACTGTTAAAACGGCTAACAGAGAAATTAAACTTGCATACCCAATCCAAAAGGTGAATGTCTCCTTCGTTGGTTATCTTTGTGACACTCTTCCCAGTAATAATTTCCAGTGCAACAATTCCAAAGCTGTATACATCTGCCTTCAGGGTCAAGTAGCCCCTTGTAGCATACTCAGGTGCCATATATCCCCTGAAAAAAAAAAAAAAAAAAAAAAAAACTACTTAGATCTTAAAATAATAATTTTCTTAAAGGATTCATGTTATTATTATTCGATAAGTTTTATGCTGGCTGTCAACTACTGTTGGGGGGGGGGGAGCCCTTGTGGGCGCAACTTGCATTAAAACAACTTTTGGGAGGGAATTTTTGAATAGAAGGGCTGTTTAGGAATTTTGGAATTTTCCTTTGGCTTTATTTAGTGGCTAATGTTAGAATTAGGATTTTCATCTTGAATTTGAAAAGGATTTGAGATCTAGGGTTTGTGTGCTTGGGCTCTAGGCTTGGCTAGAGCTTTTGGAGAGTGTCCTTCCTCTCGAATTGAAGGAATTTGTATCGTTGCTGTTTTTATTCATCTACTAGTGGAATATAAATTCTTTGCTTGATTTCCTTCATATGTCCCTTCGTATTTTCTCTGTTTTCCACTGTTTTTGGCTGATTTTCTGCTGTAAACAGCAGTTGCTATTGGTACTTCAATTTGGGTTAGGTTTGCTTGCGAATTCAAGTATTTACCTTAGGATTACTTGCAAACAAAAAATATTACCTATCAAATTGGTATCAGATCATCGTTTTGGGACTATCGGCAACTGAAATTCTGAAATTTCAGCGGGTTTTTGGCATCCGGAAGAAAATCTCTTGAGATTCGTTGGAAGAAAGATGATTGGGAAGAATGTTGAAGTCTTGGAATGCGAAATCAGTCAATTAAAATCAAATTTGGAGGAAACATTCTTTGATTTTCAAAATCGAATTACCTCCAATAATGAAAGGTTGGAAGGTAAGTTCACTGTGATGGAAGAGATGTTGAAGAAAGTACTTGAGATGAAAACCAATCCAACGACATCGGAAGCAAAAGAGACCACCGACGGCCATGGCATAGGAGGAAACCTGAACCCGTTTAGGGGGAGAAAAAATCCGGAAGTGGAGATCCTTGAGGGAGAGGATGACATGCCACCTTTAGACCCACTTCTAGAGAGGAGATGAGTATTGGATATGAAAAGAGGGGTGCTGATTTTGTGGGAAGAAAGGGAGATTTCCACCACCATGAGGCTGAATTTGAAAGGAGGAGAGGGGAAGTTGATGATGAATACGGTTTTGATTGTCGGAGGGAAGATAGGGACAATTGGGGAGCACCTCCCATTCGCGACATGGGAGGATATTGAGGATTCAAGGGCAATTGGGGTGACCCGAAGGTGAGAAAGCTGAAGATGCCCATCTTTGAGGGCGAGGATGGCCATGGTTGGATCTACAAGGTGGAACGCTATTTTTCCGTCAACGGGCTGATAGAGAAAGAGAAGCTAATAGCGGTAGGACTATGCTTGGAGGGAAAGGCACTGGCTTGGTACCAATGGAGGGACATGGGGCAACCCATCAGGAGTTGGAGAGAGTTCAAGGAGTGCTTATTGGAACGTTTTCGAACCAGTAGGGTCTGAGACTTCTATGAGCAATTCTTTGCCTTGATGCAGGAAGGGATAGTGGCAGAGTACAGTGATCGGTTTGAGTACCTAGAAAGAAGGTTTGATCGTCTATCTGAGACCGTTCTTGAAGGAAACTTTATGAAGGGGCTCAAACCGGAGATCAGAGTAGCTGTTAGAGTGATGCGACCGCATGACTTGGGGGAGGCCACGGAGTTGGCGCAGTTGGTTGAGGACCAGAAGCATCTGGAGAGGGAGGCTCAATGCAGTAGTATTGGGGGATCCTACAGGATGACTACTACTTTCCTAGCTCCCAAAGGAGCTGTATCAAGAGGCTCATGAGAAGCACCAAAGGAGAGGACTCGAGGAGGGGGGCCTGGAGGAAATTTTAAAAAGATGACTGAGAAAGAGATTCAGGAGAAGCGGGCTAAGGGGTTGTGTTTCAGGCGCGATGAGAAGTACATGTCAGGGTATAGGTGTAAGGACCGAACTCTTCAGGTTCTTACTGTCTATGATGACGAGGAAACTGAAGAGGGAGGTGAGAGCAGGATAGTGGAGGAGGAGGAAGAGAAGTTACATTTGGACGTCGCAGAAGTCTCCCTAAACTCTGTGGTGGGATTCACCCCGAGTCACACCATGAAGGTGATGGGGGAAATAGGGGATCGGGAGGTAGTGGTGCTAATCAATAGTGGGATCACCCACAATTTCATCTCTAACCAGATTGTAAATCTGTTATGGGTGAAATTAGTGGACAGGAGAGGATACGAAGTGATGATGGGCACTAAGAAGGTGGAGATGGGGAGAGGAGTGTGCAGGGGAGTGGTATTGACCATTCAAGGGCTACAGGTGATGGAGGATTTTCTTCCCTTAGAGTTGGGAAGTACCGATGTCATCTTGGGAATGAAATGGCTACAGACTTTGTGGGAGACCAAGGTCAACTAGGGTTCTCTGAGGATGAAATTGATGGTGGAAGGATAGAGGATGGTTATCCAGGGGGATGTAGGGCTGTCAAGGCAGGAGTATCTCTCAAATCCATAATCAGATCCATACATGAGGTGGGGGTGAATATTTGGAGCTGCAACGCTTGGAGGTCAGTGTGGGGGAAAAGGGAGACATTTCTCTGGTGGTGCAACTACTCGTACAACAGTTCAGGGAGGTGTTATATCCACCTTAGGGCTTACCACCACCCAGAGAGCAGGAGCATGCCATCCTTCTAAAGGACGGAGTGTCATCGATTAGTATTCGACCTTACCGCTACCCCCAGATTTAGAAAGTAAAATTGAGAAGCTGATTAGGGAGATGTTGGAGGCAGGGATCATCAGACCCAGTGTGAGTCCCTTCTCTAGTCCAATCTTACTAGTCAAAAAGAAGGATGGGAGCTGGAGGTTTTGCATGGATTACTGGGCTTTGAACAAGGAGGCAATACTAGATAAATTCCTCATTCTGGTGATCAAAGAGTTATTAGATAAGCTGCACAGAGCAGTAGTGTTTTCTAAGATGGACCTGAAGTTGGGCTACCACCAAATCAGAATGAAGGAGAAGGACATTCAAAAGACCGCTTTCAGAACGCACGGGGGTCATTATAAGTTCTTGGTAATGCCATTTGGCCTCACTAACGCCCCCGCTACTTTTCAGTCCCTGATGAACAGGGTGTTCCGGCAACATCTCAGAAAGTTTATGCTGGTATTTTTTATGACATTTTGGTGTACAACCAAACAGAGGAGGAGCATTTGGAGCACTTGAAGGAGGTTCTGAAGAATCTGCAGGCACGTCAGCTAAAAGCTAACTTAAAGAAGTGCAGCTTCGCCCAATCTAGGGTGAAATATTTGGGACATGTAGTGTCTCAAGAGGGAGTGGCGACCGACCAATCAAAGATTGAGGCAATGCAAAAATGGCTAATGCCTAGGAACATAAGGGAGTTTAGGGGATTCCTAGGATTGATTAGTTACTACAGAAGGTTTGTGAAGGGGTACAATACCATCGCTTGGCCTTTGACTGAGCAACTGAAGAAATATAATTTTTTGTGGGGAGAGGCGACAACCAAGGCTTTTGAGAGGTTGAAGAAATCCATGATGACGGTCCCAGTGTTAGTGCTTCCAGATTTCAGTCAGATCTTTAGTGGAGACAAATGCATCAAGGTATAGTTTGGGAGCAGTGTTGATGCAGAATCAGAAGCTTATAGCCAACTTCAATTAGGTGCTATCGACCAGGGCTCGATTGAAGTTAGTATACGAGAGAGAGCTAATGGCCATCGTCTTGGCTATTCAGAAATGGCGCCCGTATCTTTTGGATAGGCATTTCATTGTTCGTATGGATCAGAGGAGTTTAAAATACCTGTTGGAGTAAAGGATGGTGACCGAGGAACATCAGAGGTGGCTGTCAATGCTTTGAGGCTATGATTTTGAGATCCACTATCGGCTTGGGGTGAAAAATAAGGCGGCTGATGCCTTATCCAGATGTGTTAGGGAACTTCAGGAGTTGACAGTTTCAGTACCACTGATGGTTAATTGGGGGGCCATCAAGGAAGAAAGATTGCATAACAAAGAGCTGAAGAAGATCAAGGAAGACTTGAAGAATAATAGTAGTAGCCATTCGGGGTATTATCTGGAGGGGGAGAGGTTGTTACACAGGGGAGGTTTTTGATGCCACGAGCATTAGTACATATTCCTAAATTATTACAGGAATTTCGCGGCAGTGCAGTTTGGGGACATTCAGGAGTACAAAAGACATATAGAAGGCTGGCATCGGAGCTCTACTGAAAGATGATGTATAAGGATGTTGAGGAGATGGTGGCAAGGTGTGAGGTGCGCCAGAGAAATAAATATATGGCAATGGCACCAGGATGGTTACTCCAACCATTAGCACTTCCAAACAGAGTATGGGAGGAAGTGTCCATGGACTTCATTGACGGCCTACCATGCTAAGAGGGATTCACAGTCATTTTAGTCGTGGTGGACCGACTTAGCAAGTATGCCCATTTTATTCTTTTACAACATCCTTACACCGCAGTATCAGTGGTGGTAGCATTTATCAGGGAAGTGGTTAGATTACATGGGATTCCTGAATTGATTGTATCTGATAGAGACAAAGTGTTCCTCAGCCAGTTTTGGAGGGAGCTTTTCAGGATGCAGGGCACTGTTCTCAAGAGAAGTACTGCCTACAATCCACAGACAGACGGACAGACAGAGGTGGTGAACCGGAGCTTGGAAATATATTTGAGATGTTTTGCTTCTAAAACACCGCGGATGTGGGCGAAGTGGTTATCTTGGGCCGAATATTGGTACAATACATCGTACCATTCTGCTTCTCATATGACTCATTTCAAAGTGATGTATGGTAGAGACCCCCCACACCTAGTGCATTATGATAGGGGAAGCAAACCGGTTTCTTCAGCTGAGCAGTTTTTGGAGGAAAGGGACAAGGTGATGGATGAGTTGAAGAAACATCTGTTGAGGGCATAATAAATCATGAAAAAGCAGACTGATTCACTTAGGAGGGACATGCAGTTTGAAGTGGGAGACAATGTGTTCCTAAAACTACGTCCCTGCAGGCAAAGGACAGTTACTATAAGGGGGAACGAGAATCTGTCACCGAGATACTTCGACACTTATGAGGTGTTGGACAAGATTGGGGTAGTGGCGTACCGACTTAAGTTACCACCATCAGCCACCATACACCCAGTGTTCCATGTGTCCCAGTTGAAGAGAGCTCTCGGGGAGCATGCACTTAGTGCAGAATTATCATCTACACTAACTCAGGATTTGGAAGTAGTTTTAGAACCACTGGAGCTTGCAGGAGTGAGATCAGATAAAAAGGGTAACAAAGAAGTGCTGATTAGATGGAGAGACCTTCCCGACTTTGAAGCTACTTGGGAGCCATTTGAAAGAATGAAATATCAATTTCCTTCATTTCACCTTGAGGACAATGTTAGTTTTTGGTAGGGGAGTATTGTTAGACCGGCCCAGGAGGGGCCGGCTGGATCGGTCCAGTCTGGACCGGTCCTGTTCTATTCCAGGCAGAACCAGGGCAAAAAGGGTACTCTTCCCAGTAACAATTTCAAGTGCAACAATTCCAAAGCTGTATACATCTGCCTTCGGTGTCAAGTAGCCCCTTGTTGCATACTCAGGTGCCATATATCCCCTGGAAAAAAATAAAAAACTAGAAACTTAGATCTTAAAATAATAATTTTCTTAAAGGATTCATTTTATTATTATTTAATAAGTTTTACGGTGAATATCAACTACTGAGGCCGCCCAGGAGGGGCCGGCTGGACCGGTCCTATTCTATTCTAGGCGGAACCAAGGTAAAGAGAGGGGGGGGAGCCCATGTGGGCTCAACTTGCATTAAAACAACTTTTGGGAGGGAATTTTTTAATATAAGGTCTGTTTAGGGATTTTGGAATTTTCCTTTGGCTTTATTTAGCGGCTAATGTTAGAATTAGGGTTTTCATCTTGAATTTGAAAATGATTTGAGATCTAGGGTTTGTGTGCTCGGGCTCTAGGCTTGGCTAGAGATTTTGGAGAGTTTCCTTCCTCTTGAATTGAAGGAATTTGTATCGTTTCTGTTTTTATTCATCTACTAGTGGAATACAAATTCTTTTCTTCAATTCCTTCAGATTTTGTCTGTTTTCCACTGTTTTTGGCTGATTTTCTGCTGTAAACAGCAGTATCCTTGCTGTGGGTACTTCGATTTGGGTTAGGTTTGCTTGTGAACTCAAGTATTACCTTAGGGTTACTTGTGAACTCAAGTATTACCTTAGGGTTACTTGTGAACTCAAGTATTTCCTATCAACTACCTAACGCAACCCTCCACTTTTCTCATCCAGGACTTGGGACCTAGCAACGGTAGTGTTAAGATCTTAAAATAATAATAAATAGTCAAATTTTAATGGGAGGATATCAGAGAATTACTAAAGGAAAACAATTTTCCAAAATGTAATTGAAATGCCAAAGAATTTGATCACACAGAAAGAAAAGGTTCGTCATGGTAATTGCTGTTATAGGCAAATTTATAAAACAGATATATTGAAACAAAACTAAAGCAATAACAGTCTTTGGCCTGGCTAAAGCCACATGCAATAGCCATTACATTTTTGAGAAAGATAATATGGAGTAGGAAAAAGTGCTTTATCCACATGTAAAAGACTACCCTGGTCAAAGTTAGATAAATGATGGCCAAAAATTACAACTTACATTACAAACTATGAGCAGTATTTTGATGTTGCATGAGAGACAACAGGATAAAAATTCATGTGGGATTTCCATTAGATTAAAATGGTTCGTGGTTGAAAGTCGTCGTGGAATTTCCAAAATTTGCAATTTACATTACAATCCATTGGCCAACTCACATTATTGTCTTTGGCTTGACAAAGAAAAATAGAAAATAAATACATAAGGTATGTGCTTTGACAAAAGAATAGATAATAGGAAAGGGTGCCTTACATGGTTCCAGCTACTCTGGTGCTTATGTGGGTGTGTTCATTTTCATTGAGCTTAGCCAAGCCGAAATCTGATATCTTCGGATTCAGTTCCCTGTCTAGTAAAACATTGGTAGGTTTTATGTCTCTGTGAACAATTCTGAGCATCGACTCCTCGTGAAGATATGCCAAACCTCTAGCAATACCAACACAAATCTTCTGCCTTGTTAACCAATCCAGTTTCAGTTCGTATTTCTCTGGGCCTAAACAATCATTTACCTATAGGTCAGAATTTTCATTATCTAGGAAAGATAGGAGCAGACCAAAGAAGACTGGAATAAAATTATTTTATTTCTTTAGGAAAAAGGCATTTAAATTTTGACAAATGAGCTCATAGACTGATCCTCACCAAAAAGAGCATTGGCAAGGCTATTATTCTCCAAATACTCATATACAAGCAGTAATTGATTTTCTTCAACACAGCATCCGTAAAGCCTTACTAGATTTGGATACTGTAGAGCAGAAATCATGCCTATCTCATTAAGAAATTCACGATTTCCTTGTGTCGACTTCGAGGAAAGCTGTTTCACAGCTATCATGGTACCATCTGACAATAAACCCTGAACTGAAAGCGCATTGTGAGAAAATCAAGTAAAATGTGTATATTCATTTTAAAACAAATCATCCATAAATCAATAAACTTGAATATACCCTGTAGACTGATCCAAAACCTCCTTCCCCAATCTTGTTAGAGGCACTAAAATTATTGGTAGCATCTTGTATTTGCCTTAGGCTGAAGGAACCAGTTTGCAGCTCTAACCGCCTCAGATCTATCCAAGAAATGCAAAAGACAAACTATGATGAAAGCAACTGACTTGGATTTGCAACAATAAGCACATATTTCAAGAAAAGGAAAAACATTAAAATACTTCTCAGAATAATCTATTACATTGCAAAGTAATCAATATATAACAAGGAAAGAAAAATTAACATGTAGATATAATGAGGTACTTCCCTTGAAGGCCTGAACATAACATAAGATGATAGTTACATTACAGTGAAACAGGGGAAAAAATTCAAGGGTAAAACATACCCTATGTTATGATGGATAGCCTTAGAAGGAGAGAAATTTACATATGCTCAGAGATTAGCACGCAAGAGAAGGATTTTGGAACTTAAAAGTTGAACCAAAATTAATGCGGATTAAAATACTTAAATAAATTAAGAAGACAGGAAACCAGGGTCTGAGAGCCTACAAGCCATTCCTATAGAAGAAGAGATTGGTGGAGTTGATGTTACAAAGAAATAAAATCAAAGAAAAGTACTAAAGAAAATGCATTTAGCAAATAATGATGAGATTTTCAATCGAAATTAAACAAGCTTAAAAAGTGAAAAAGTGAAGTGAGCTAAATCAAAACTGCAACTTCATTGCTTACATTATATGTTGGTCTAAAGAAGGAGAAGGAAATAATATAGATGTTTTACGTGACGCCAAACTAAAATTTCATAGCATGAGAAGGAAGAGGCAAAGCAGGGCGTGGGCGTTCCAAAGAAATTTCTTTTCTTAATCAACAGCGGATGAGTTTCTGGCCTTAATCTTGCATCCTGTTTTTTTAGCACTTCTTCTAAGTTTAGCGTTCAAAAAGATCGAAGGACATCTGAAAATCAACATTGTTCAGAAATACAAATCATATTCGTTGAGACTAGGAATTTGATGATCTTAGCAATGTTTTGCATTGATTTGTCTCTAAAACAAGAGCTAGTTTGATTCGGTCACCATTGGTTTTTTGTTGGTTCACTGTCACTATTGGTCCCGTGTTGTTGGCTTGTACCACCTTTTGAATCTAAAGTATGACACTTCCAAGCAATGAACTTGCTAAATGGGAAGTTAGGAAACATGATATGACATGTATGAAAGATGTGATTACCTTGGCGTATTGAATCCCTTCTCCTGAAATAACCTTTCTTCCAAATTGCATATAAAAGCAAGATAATCAGACAAAGTGCTGAAACGAGGATTCCCACTACCAGAATGACATGCTTTCTGCTTTTTCTTGGAGGCTTGAAATCTGCAAGAGAAATTTGATGAAAACAAAATAAGTGAAGCATAACTTTAACATTAGTTCACTACATGATTATATTAACTTAATTTCTAACACCTCAAATTTTATTCCCTTAACAGAAAGAAGCCTTTTTAACCCATTAAATTTTCCCAAGTTTGAGAAAAAGCACAAATGGGCAAGGCAACCACGATATAATTTTGATAATGCAACTTTTCAGAAACTTGGCATATTACAGTTTTTTTCCTATGCCTGGAGTATCTACCTTTAAGATATGTATGTACTCATCGAAGGTACTGTTTCAGATACCTCACATGTAATATTATATTCTTGATAGCTAAGAAAGCTCCTACAGTGCCACCACACAAACAAAAAAAGGCATGCTGATGTACAGATCAGGACGCTCAACTGGCAATCTCAAGGAAAAATATTCCAAAAAAAAATGGCCCAATAAACTATTTTAAATGAATATCAAACAAAGAATATCATCAACAGCTGCATGATCATCATTATTAGTCTTATCCCAACTACTTTGGTCGCTTGAATATCAAATAAAGAAGAATCATGCTAAATGTTAGTCCTGATTTATCAACCCACAAGGAACCAATGTGGTTTAATTCAAATAAGCACCAACAGCTCTTAGAATAATACTGACTTACTGGGAGCCACAGATATAGCTGATACGAGAGGACCATAGGTTCCACTTATAGGGATGTTTGTTGTTCCTTTGCCAGCCCAATAAAACCGAATCTCCAACTTATTCTTTGTAACAATGGCATTAAACTTCTTCACAACTGCTTTTTCTGACCCATTTGCCTCAACTTTGATATTGAAGTCTTTCAAAACAAGTTCTCCCTGTAAAAAACAGTATAAATGAAGAATAAAAGATTATATATGCAAAAAAGGATTAAATTGACTTTGATCTCAGTCTGTACCTGTATATAAACATCAAATATTCTCCTGCCAGGACTGATATATCCATTGTAGTCAGTGATTATTATCTCCGCAAAGTGCAGTTTAACACTATAGTTCCCATTTAATAAGCAAAGTCCATAATAACTAAGAGATAATGGTGAAATTCGTGCATTTGCGTACAATTCAGAGTCAGGCATGGAAAGATTCTGTCTAGTTGTTGTTATAAAATTGTTATTATCACTCAAATCCAGAAAAGCGCCGGTGCTACTAACTGCCCAGTTTGTACCCACACGAAATGTTGAGACACCATCAGATCCATCATTATCTGACTCATATATCAGGTTATCATCAGTAGTCACCTGATCTCCTCCACAATTTATATTCAATGACCGCTGATCTGAGAGAAAAAAAAAAAACAGAATTGTAAGATGAAAGCTTTCAGTTTGAGTAGAAATGAGTAGGGGTGTCAATTCGGGTCAACGAGTCGGGTTTAGGTCGAACCCGATTTGACCACGCCGTAAACGGATTGACACTAACCTGACCCGAGTTTGCAAACAGATCATGTTTGTCAACCCGGACCTGACCCGTGCAAGTTATCGGGTTGACCAAACCCGCAAACCCAACTCCAAACACATGAGGTGAGTCAGGTGAGGCCCCAACTCCAAACACATAAGGTGAGTCAGGTGAGGCCAGTGGCTCACGCTGGTGCGATCGTATGTGGCCATGCGGGCGAGGCAGAGGCCAGCCGCTAGCAACTCACGTTGGTGCGGGCGAGCGGGGACGCCATGACGAGAACTGGATGGGACGAGTTAGCGGGGGCGGGACAGGATGGGTCGACGGGACGTGCGGAGTTAGTGCCTGCGGACGAGACAGAATGGAGGGACCCGCATCAGCAGGGACGGGATAGGACAGACGGAAAGGCATTTTTCTCGGATTACTTTCAGGTTTTCACGTCAACTCGAACCCGACCCAATTTTTAAAACGGTTCGACTTGTCGAATATGAACCCGACCCTTATGTCAAACGGGTTGACCCGAACCTAGAATTTTTTTGGTAGGATCCGGATCGTGTCAAATATTGACGTCCCTAGAAGTGAGTCAATGAACTTAAATAGACAAAACAGATAGATGAATCTTAAAAATGGACTCCTTGCCTCATGGATTACTTTTGATCAGAAGAAAAAGAATTTCTACAAGTCACACAGTTTCCCATAAAACATTACTTGAATTTTAGTAGTTTATCGACTTTTGTTTGCTTAATCAAATTAAGAACTAAATTACCATACACATGATAATGATAGTAAAATGTTAATCTGATTTATTGGATATATCAACCTAAATGTCCTCCAATACTTCTGCACTGCAACATCACATTTTTATGAAAAAAATAGCAGCAATAAGCAAAAGGATGAAAAGAAATTATGATGGCTTTAGTTTTAAAATAGCAGTTCATTTTTTAGCTCAATTAAATGCTTACATCCAGCACAAGGAATTGCCTCCAAGCATGGCACTCGTTCAGTCCTAGATAAACATAACGGAAAGAGTAGATTGATGCTTAGAAATATTAGCATGAAAAAAAAAACAATTTGATACCATTTAAAAAAAAATGTTAAACCTCTAAAGAGTTACTTAACTCAAGCAAGCTATATTATAATTTGCAGATGCGAAAAACTTACATATTATGAAATGAATAGGAGCTTCCCAGCAAATTGCTGAATGAAACAAGTAGATACAAACAATTATGAAATATATATCTGACAACTTCCAGGGCATTTAAGTTGGACTTAAACAATACTTACACTTTTCCCACTTGACATGTTTGATCTTGAAAATTCAATGTGAAATTATTATAAGAAAGGTCACTGCAAAATATGTTTCATTAAGAGCTACCAAAGGAGATATAAAATATACTAAATACATGCTAATGAAAGTTCAATTAAGAATCAAACAATTGAAGCTGTTATTGAAAAAAGAGAAATAATTATTTGACATGAAATGACCAAAAGAGCATTGTGTATTGGCATTTTTTGTCACTGGAGGGTTTCACGTTCATAATTGATATATCATCAAAAAATTATATTGATCAAGCACGAATCTCAAGGCAAAAATCGAGTTGGAAACTTCAAAAATTAAATTGGAGACCATCTGAACTCCGATTTCAGCAAACTTATAGTCAAATCTCGGAAATACAAACCCAACAACACCAAATTGAACTCAATCTGAGCCTAAATGAGTCCACATCAAAGACCCGAAGCGCATTTGGAAGGTTGAATCCATAATTTGGATTACCAAACAGTTTCCAAATATGGCATGCTTATAGTCGAATCGAGTGGCTTGATGAGACAAATCCAACGAGCCCAAAATCGCCAAATTCTGATATCATTAAGACATTAGAATGCTCAATAAACGGTCTACGATCAAGGGATTAACATCAGCCGTCCATTCAAATCACTCCCAATTTACCAGTGATCTTCCTTCTATTTATTGGTCATGCTACTCTCAGAAAACTATAAATAGACCCCTCATTTTTCATAAAAGGAAACCCAAGCAAGAAGAAAAGAGAATGAAGAAGAGAAGAGAAGAAATGAAGAGAAGGAAGAGACTCGTCGACCACTGCCGGACTTTCGCCCGGCAGCCGACTGACGCCAGAATTAAGGAAGCAAGAAGAGAAGAAAATGAAGAGAAGGATAAGACTCCTCCTCAACCACCGCCGGACTTCCACCCGACTCCCAACTGACGCCGGAATTTTGTCAGACTGCCAATTGGCTCTGGAATTCTGCCCGACTGCCGACTGACGCCAGAATTCTGCCTGACAACCAACTGACTCAGGAGTTCTACCCGACCGTCAATTGAAGCCGGATTTCCGCCCGACAACCAGAACGTCCCCGGATTTTCGATCTCCGTTTGTAACTGAATTTCAACCCTGAGTTGATTATTGTAATATGATCGTCCTCAATTTCAGGGACAAGTCAGCTACTTTTAATCTAAGCAAACACTAGTGGAATCCTTTCAACTATGTGCGACCTCGTGGTATTTCCCTTTTCCATGGTTTCCACGTAAAAATTCTGGTGTTACTTTTTATTTTGTTTGTGTGTTGGATATCTGTATAAGACCAAGATGAAAAATTTTCTAACTCTATCGCCGCGTATATTCTATCCCGCAACAATAATAGTCATAACTTCAATTTAGTTGAGCTAGCCATCAATTAGCATGAAAACAAATCTATATTTAGTTGGGCAAATCAAGATGAAAAACATGCTTATTTGATAGATAGTTCAAGGATATTTCCATTGCGCCATTTTTTTTTCTTGTTGAAGGGGGTGCAACACAAAGTTGCTTCAAAAGAAGACATTTTGGCGTTTGTACCTCGAAAATATTTTCTTGATAGCTTGTGATCAATTTCCATCCAATAAATTGGAGCGAAAAAGATATGAAAAATTAATAATTATGATTTTCAGGTTTTCTAGGCTTTTATACTTCAATGAAGAAGCATGTGCTGAAAGCAGTTAGTCCATTTCCATCCCAAACCACTTTAAGACCTGACATACAGGAAATAAAGCATTGAATTGGCACAAGACACATAACAAGAAATATAATGACCAAAATTTTTTTGGATATATAGGAAAGAACATTTTCTTTTAAGTGGTTATCATACATATATGTATATTTACCTAATCTAAACTGAAACAACAAAATATTAAAATCATTCAGCCAATTTCCATCACAAGCCTCTTTTGTCCAGAGCAATGAAGTGTGAACCTGACACACAATAAGGTACTCATGTATGAATATCAAAAGAGTTTGATGATGAAAGAATCTTAACAAGCAATGAACCACCAAGAGATGTTCATATACAATCTTCAGTCATGGTTGAATGTTGATTCCTCGTTTATTGTAAATGGGGATGGTGAAGAAGAAGTGGGTGCTAGACAAAGTTGCTTCAAAAGAAGACATTTCAGCATCTGTGTATCGAGAACATTTATTGACAGCTTGTGATTAATTACCATCCAATAAATTGTTGTTCTACAAATAGATGGATAGGATGATTTATTTGTCTAGGTAATCGACGCATAGAGTGTGGCGTATTTTCTTGGTAAGAATGAATGAAAGGACGTATAGTTATACAAATATCATAGTATACTCTAGATTTTTGTTAGACCAGAATTATTTGGCAAATATTTTTACTTTATCCAGATATCGTGCCCTTGCAAGTCCCAAATAATAAGGCTTCATGTTATAATGAACTAAGATTAAATCAAAATTCCATATATATACTGAAAGTCAAAATCTTTCTAATAGGAAATTCATGAAAGTGACGACAATAAATTGGAATCATATAGGGTGCTGAGAGGCTTATGATTTTTTATTCAAGTAAGTTGCAACATCATTATTATTTTTAACACATTTTAATATAATTGAACTTCATGTTTGTAGAAGATTAAATCAAATATCTCATTATAAGTTATTCATTCATTTTTTATTTAAATTAGATATGGAGAGATATTTTAAAAGAAAAAGTGAATTAGATGAACGTGGCATGATATGTGGTGATAACAATGCCCATTTCAAACAAACTCACGTAGAAATCAATTTTGATGACATTCTTGTTGACCCTAGATTAAAGAAGAAACATTTTATTATCATCCAAATGAAAGGGAATGAGTGCTAAGATATTACTTGCAAAAAGAACCATGTCAGCCTTGTGATCATGAATTCCCATGTACAAAAATTGAAAATAAATTACGTAGATTTAATCCTGCGTGATTCAAAGATTACAAAGGATGGTTAAACTATAGTATAACAAAGGTTGCAGCTTTATTATTATTATTATTATTATTATTATTATTATTATTATTTTAATAGACCTGAAATAAGATAACAAGTTAGTAGTGATAGTTTCAACATTAAGGAATTCAGAAATTGGAAAAAGAATGATAATTTAATATTCATGTTGGTCAAACTAATAGTGCTCATAATATTCCTTATCATTAAAGTATTTTACACTCGGATATATATGCAACTTCAAGAGGTTAGCAATAAATTTGATGAAATAAATACAAAGTTACTTTATGTGTATGGCATATTTAAATCTATGCGATTAATTTTCAGCTTTTAATGAAGAAGGATTGATATGTCTAGCCAATTTTTTAACAAAATTTTCAAATATAGATCTCATCATATTAGAAAGCAAAGTTGACATTTTTATCATTGATATGAGATCAAGTTATGCATTTAGAAATTTAAAAGGAATTGAAGAGCTTGCTCAAAAATTAGTGAAGACAAAGAAGAATGTTATTTATCATTTGGTGTTCATGCTTACAAAGCTAACTCTAATATTGCCTATTGTTACAGCCCCGGTCGAATGAGCATTCTCTACTATGAAAATTATAAAGAATCATCTACGCAATTGTATGGAAGAAACTTGGATGAATAACTATTTGATTGCTTATATTGAAAAAGACATTTATTAGAATTGAGAATGAATTAATTGTAAAATAATTTCAAAAAAATGAAGACTCAAAAGAGAAAAACTATAGATAATAGGTAAAGAGAATATGAAGAGCAAATGCTCTCAATTGTAGGGTTTTTCTTTATTATATAATTTATCTTTTTATAATGATAATTTAAAAAAAAATTTAAAACTGCCAATATCAGTCCCAAAACCGGATGAAAAAGGATGAGGTTATTTTTAAAATCGATAATTTGTGCCCACAGAAAAAAATTCCTAGCTCCACTCCTGCTTCTCCACTCTCTATTGGTTAGTGTCAAGGGTCCTCCCCCCAATTTATGTTAGGTTCTCTCTCTTTTATTATAGCTCATTAACTAATGTAAGACCACTTGCACACAAATCTTCACCAGAAAAATGAATTAATGGAGAAGGCGCAACCACGAAACCAAAGGGTTCAGCCAACCCCAAACTAATAGGTGCATTGAATCTAAATCACACATGATTTAATCACCGACCATGGTCAAATGCAGGTTCATAACCATTCAAGCATCATAGCCAGACAAAGGCATTACTTATTATGTCCTCCTAACAATCCATCATCATTCCCCCCGCCCCCCCAAAAAATAATAATAATAATAAAGCCAATTATGCTTGAGGAGCTTCAAATCATGGAATGTGATTCCATTCGATGTAAGAACACTAGTGAAACTGGATATTCCAAAAGCATGAACTAATAGAGAAGGAACAACCAATGTTCAATAGCTAAAGATTCAACAAATCCAAACATACGTGACCAATTAATTCACACCCCTTAACTCAATCATCAACTACGGTCAGATACAAATCCATCACACTCTCCATTGTAAACCACAGGCGACATGACAAATGTTATGTTGTCTAAACCCTCTCTTACAGATATACATACAGAAATGTGATATAACATTTATAACCACATATTAAAGAACATAATTACAAGTAAGTTTGTCTAATTTGCAAAGTTTTGTAGGCCTTTTTTTACCTCTTCATGGATATAAAGTTGAAGAAACTTTTTGGATGCCATGAAAGATTTCAACTTAGTGGAGTTCATTTACATGATTTATGAATTATTTGCATGGGCAGGTAAAGATTTAATTAAAATGATACAAAGTAACTGGGAAAATATAATAATAAGATTGATTTGATATATGATCAATTTAGACTATCAATTGTGTCATATGTGCTTGTACAATATCTTCGAGGGCTGCTAAAATAATATGCACCTAAGAAGGAAGTTTTTACATTAACATAATTAACTAAAATTGACATAATTATCTTCTTCTAAGGGCTCAATTGGTTTCTTAAAGTTAGAATCCATGCTTTGAAAAAGGCAAATTTATGGAATTTTTTCATTGTAGAGATCATTATTGATTTTGAACTTTAAAAACTCCTTCAAAATTCCTCAAAAGTGATCATTTTACTTTCAGAATAAAAATGAGTGAAAAAGAAATCATCATTTTCAAAAACATATGAGCCCTAAGAAAGCATAGCCACTACAAGTTGTGATAAGACTATAATTGCGTAGTAATGAACGATAACCAGAAAAAAATTTGAGAAGCTCATTGTAAATATAAAAAAAAAAAAACCTCCAACAATAATACATAATTTGGAAAGAGAATCACACATGTTGTTTTTGCCCAAAAGCATCCAGTCAGGTACAGAACCAGATAAGTTATTACCGGTAAGAAACCTGCACAAACATCATCAGTAAATAATATCAGAAAGGCTTACGTCAAGACTAAAATGTGCAACAGCTCTGAATCACTTACATCACATTAGTATGCAGAAGACTCTGAAATGTCGTTGAAATATTTCCAGATAACTTGTTGAAGCTTAAATCCCTGGTTAAAAAAAGAAGAAGAAAGATCACACAGGTTCTCCTCAAATATACAACCATTGCATGCAAACCTTGTTGCTTTTGTTTGAAGTTTTCCTCTATATTATGCAGATGTATTTATGCTACGTTAACAGTAGTAGATTTTATAGGAACAAGAAGTGCAATAAGCATACATTTGAATGCATATGCCTTTTTGTGCTGGTAAGACAAAATTTCTTCTAGGCGAAGGAGAAGGAGAATTCCTTTTTTTAAGTATTTGTTATGATGTCTAGTTTCATAAATAATTGCCAGACTAAGAAGAGAAACTCATCTCACAATCTATGATTCAAGAAACACGATACCAAGAGATTTACAGGAGTGAGAAGTATTGATAACTGAGGAGAAAGGTGGCCTACAAGTGGAACGATTGGAAAGGGGTATTTTTAAATGGTTGATAAAGGTTTAAGGAAGCTATTAGAGGTTACTTTGGTCGAAGAGGATTCTGTGATGGTGGATTGTTTAAACTGGTGAAGAGGTGATTAAATAAGGGAAGATGGGACTTTGCTTAAGAGTAAGGAAATTGTGGTTGATTTATGAGGGTTAGGAGAGGGTGAGGTCTTCAACATGTAGTTAGGTAACAGAAATGATGGAATAAGGTTATTAAAGGGTTTTGAGGTGTGTAAAAGTGGTGGAAAGGCAAGAGGACTAATTTTGGACAATTTTGAGGAAGCTTACAATGAAATAGAAATCTTTTGCACGGAGTTAAAGGAACTCCAAAATTCAAGAGAGGATGAATGAAAAAATAGGATAAAATTCTAATATAATATAAGATAAACCCAGCCTCACCAAAAGAAGAGGGATAGGAGAGTCACCAAATCGATCTCAAGGAAAAAGTCACCAAGAAAAATTCAAATAAGAGAAAACTCTCAAATATATTTAAAAACACGATCACTGCAGCCTAAAATCTATATCTATATATATCTCAAGGAAAAAGTCACCAAGAAAAATTCAAATATATTTAAAAACACGATCACTGCAGCCTAAAATCCATATCTATATATAGCTTTTATCATATATGAACCAACATGGGATAGCAAAAGTCACATCCAAGTAGGAAGCCATCAATCATAAGACCAAGGAAGAGGGGGGCCGAATTTGTTCATTCATGAGTCTACTTAAATTTTTAAAAGACACTTCTTCATTTTTCATCCACGCAACAACAGATGAATCATCACCAGAATGGAAGCTTGATGAAGGAAGAGGCCAAGCATTGACTTGTAAAGGCGATGTAGCAAAGATGAGGTTGAAGCTTTTGAGTTTAATTTGCTTAGATGAACTAGAATTAACTAGCTTGCATATCAACCTTTTGCATGATTGCATGGTAAACTATTACAGCATTTAATGCACCATATTACATTACTAAAACAAAAATACAATCATGCAAAAATAAAAACACAAAATAACATAAAAAATATTCATGAACTATGTTTTACATCAATAGTGGGATTAGGATAAATGAATAAAATCTTGAGTCTAAAAATATGGGTGAAATCTTAATTAATGGGCTCATATGCTAGCCAAGATAATCAAAACAAACTTAAGGTAATAAGAAACAGTGAAATCTTCTCTAAGAAATTCCCCAAAAATCAACCAAAACCAACAAAGCTGGCATCTTTGCTTGGATTTAGGGTATGTAGTGATACAGATACTTCAATTTGGATTATTTTAGCTATTACGGATTATTTCAAGCAACTTAATTTTATTTCCTTTTTATATATTTAGTTTTCATAAAAAAAATAATTCTATTTATCTTATCTTTAGGAATATTCTAATTATAGGATTTATCAACATTTAACTTTGAATAAATTTAGTTATTCATGCAATTTTATCCTTAAATAGATATATTAATGCATTTTAAATTATCACCTTATTATAAAATGAATTTTGAATAAATTCAATCTTTTCCTCTTCTACTTTCGCTTTCCTCTTTTCTATGAATTCCTCTCTCCTCTTCATTTTGTTCCATTCCCCTAGTTTCTCTCACTAGCTTTCCTCAACATTAAAGGTGAACTCAAGTGACAAGTGTCTATTCAACTTGGCCTGATTTGATTTAGTTTCAAATCTTAATAGCCTAGTGTGACTAAGAATTTAAAATTTTGGAACATTCCAAAACAAAGTTGATTTGAAAACTATAAGAAAACGATGTCCATAAGAAGATGGACAAAAAAAGTGAAACTTGGCCCAAATAAATAGTGGTTTACAAAGGCTAAAGAAAGAAAAGAAATTAACTCATCCTAGCATTTGATGTTGTATGATACATATGTGTAACTTTTATATTTTATGTCGTTTTGCACTTAGATTATTTGAATTTCAAATCTATTTCACGTAATTTATCATTTGACACTTTATATTTTATACAATTTTATATTTCATATGTATGTCAATTTGTTACTTCATAGTTTAATAAAAAATTAACATATAATTCTTTAACATATTATTTGGGTATTATATAAAAAATCACTTTTAGTATTTATTTTTTACTTTACGCAAATTTTGAATTTTGAGGCTTATGACTTACTTCACCAATGAAAAATACCTTAATACCCAATTATGCAATTTAAAATCTTGACCCTAATGATGGTCGAGTTGAAAGTGAATCTCAACCGAAGAGGATATTACATTTTTTTTAAATACCTCTAAAACCCATTGCAAATACAAATATTTTAAAGTGACCTCAGCATCACCCCGATGATAGCCGTGTTGAAAGTGAATCAACCAGAAGAGACTGCTTAATTTTCAAAAATAACCTCCCAAAATTCTAAATTATCCATCCAGGGCTTAAATTCCAATTAAAATTAATAAAATTCAATGTCCATCAAATTTTAAATATTTGGAATGAAATTAAACACCAAAAACTCAAAGTAAAAATCTACCCACCCTCCACAATAAATTGTCTGGAACTATAAATTTGAGAATAACTTCAGCTCACAAAGAGTGAATGTTCAATTGGTGTATTGATAAGATTCATTTTCAAATAATCTCTCGCCAGTAAGGATGTAGCACGCATCCTCTAACCGATGGTTTTGCCCTCAAATGAAATCACAAATAAATGGTTATGACTAGGACAATTTGACAGGATAGTTTTGCTGCAAAATAGTACCACTAAATTACAATTACAACTAGAACTTGTTTATTTGGCAATGACTCTAAACCTTGAGACAAACATCCACCCTAAGTCTATATAAGGTACCTTTAGATGAAGCAACTCATGGCTGCCGACACGAATCTTTTGATCAAGTTAGGTCCACTATCTCCTCTGATTAAATAAACTAGAGACCACAACAGTTTAAAGTGATGAATCATGGAATCTTGATTGAGCTCATCATAAGTCTTCCTCCATCAGTTTTAAATATATGGTGATAAAAAAGCATAAAACCCCAAATTCAAAACTTTAAAATTGTTGCTACTATACGTTGCGAACTTAGCACCTATCTAACAACTAGTCTTAATCGAAAGTTTTCTCTCGTTGGTAGGAGGGATACTTAACTAAAAGGTCTTGCACCTATAGAAAACTAGACCTTATATCATAAAGTTTTCACAAAATGAGGGTAAAATCTTTGAGTAATGTCTTATCTTAAATCTAAATTATCTTCTTAAAATTTATCCTAGAATATCTCTGTTAAAACTATCCTCTATCAATAAAAAGGTGAGGAGAGGCCAGGGCATGAATTTTCAGAGCCCACATTTAAAACATATTTTAGTTTGCATTCTAGCAGAAGGGAGTATCTACTATAATGTTGCCTTCATATGCAAGAGCTAGTATGAAAAACTAAAATAGCTTATCTGATGCTCACTAAAGAAGACATAGTTTTCATTTAAAACAAATTAACCTTTCAAGTTGTTCAAAGTAAAAGTTTGGCCCTTCATTTGATTAGCACCAAAACCTAAAAATTAATGAGAATAAATTTTAGTTTTCTAAGAGACACTCATTCATGATGAAATCACGTCCAATTCTTATGTGTTTGATCAGAGAAAGTGAAGCATCTGAGACAAATTGTACCAAAGTTAAGGATTTTTTACTTACAGCCGTTTGAGATTTACAAAATTGTCCATAAATTTGGGGATCACTCCGGATATACCACAATTCCTTAAAGTCCTAGACAAGAAATCAATGTAAATCAATGTACTGACCCTCAATACCAATAAATATCATTGAGAGGCACATTAACTGCAACAGAAGGAAGAGCATCAAACTTACAGATATTGCAGTTGTTCAATACCTTGCAGCTGTGGAAAGCCAGAGTTACCAACTATGTCACTGATTCGCCTGCCAACAAAAAAGATTCAAATGAAACTTGGAAACATTTCCTTCTGGGATAATCTGATAGAAGGTAGTTGATACAAAAATTAATAATAGAAGTTTTTGCATACAAGTCATCCAATTTCTTCAAACGAGAAATTCCTGAAGGAATGGGCCCTTGAAGACCACTTGCTTGAAGGTCTCTACAATAAATAAATTTACATGTTAGAATTCAAAACTAGAATTATTCATCATAAAAAAAGGAAGCCATGAAAGCAGAAAAAAGTAAGTTTCAGGAGGCCCTAATGCTCACAGTCTTAGAAGCTGTGTCCAGTTCTGGATAAACTGTGGTATCTTTCCATTGAAGTTGTTGCTGCGAATCAAACTGCACCACGACTGTATAATTAAAAATCAGCTTCTATGAATAAATGATGCAAATCCACATAAGGAATCACCGAACACTTACAAGTATTTTAAATTGGTTAAATTAGTAAATGTATCCGGCAGCTCGCCAGACAAAAAGTTCGACGATAATTGACTGCAAAACCAGGAAAAAAAAAGTGCATAAAGGGAACAAGTAACTGCATCTTCGAAACAATAAACAGGAGAAAGGGAGGAAAAAGGTTAAAAAGAAACTCACAATAGCTCTAAGCTGTTGAGATGCCCAAGCTGCTCTGGAAGAGAACCCATAAGTTGATTTTCTTCGAGCACCCTATGGAGCAAAT